GGATGTGGTGTTAGAGGAGATTTGTAGCATTAAACTGCTGCCAACAAGTCTGCAGCAACAGAAGAATTGGGGCTGTTCTTTGGACATTGTCATTAACATCAGCAACTGTTTAGATAATTAATTTTAAAAAAGGGGATGTAGCTCATTGGTAGAGCGTGTGCTTTGCATGTACGAGGTCCTGGGATCAATCCCCAGCATCTCCAACAACATTGAGCCAGTTATTCTGTCCTACATTTAAAGCATTGCTCCAACCATTGAGGAGAGCCCTTTATCCAAGTTTCATTTGAACTGTGATCACGAGAGCTCTTGAAAGTACTTTTTTGTTTAATTAAGCAATGGGATTGGTAAAAGACTGTACAAACAGGTACGTCCAGCTTTACATGATAACATGAAGGGGATGTAGCTCAGTGGTAGAGCGTGTGCTTTGCATGTACAAGGTCCTGGGTTCAATCCCCAGCGTCTCCAACTTTGCTCTTATATTTAATACTAAACTGAGTCTCAGTTTAAAAACTAATCCACAGTCACACAACATTTCAAACCAAAAGAGTTTCTTAGGATGTGGTGTAAGAGGAGATTTGTAGCATTAAACTGCTGCCAACAAGTCTGCAGCAACAGAAGAATTGGGGCTGTTCTTTGGACATTGTTATTAACATCAGCAACTGTTTAGATAATATAAAAAAAATATAAAAAATTTAAAAAAAAACTGAAAAAAAGGGGATCTAGCTCAGTGGTAGAGCATGCGCTTTGCATGTACAAGGTCCTGGGATCAATCCCCAGCATCTCCATCACCAATTATTATTCTATAAATACTAACACAATACTGTGAGACACTCAAAAGATCTTTGTAGAAATAGCACAGCACTGCTTTTTAAATAATTGATCAGGAGACATTTCCAGAATCAAACCAAATTTAATTGCCTTTTTCTGAGTAAACACATTTTTATTTCTCATTTTGCATTAATCCATCAAAATTAATTGCAATCGATTCCCTTGATCATCTCTTTCTAGAAATGTATGAAGTTTCAAAAATATAGAATTAGTTAGAAAAAGAATAAACAAGTCATACATTCAGTCAGGTTTATAGCCTCATAGTGTGAAACCACTGAGGAATTTAGGTTTCTACTAAACATCATGACACGTTTTACATGTTGAGCCCAAAAAAAGAAGCTATGTGAGCTTTACATTACTTAGTAACATTTTTAGAAATCATTAAGTTTTTAACTCATTAGTTTTAGTTCATTTCAAGTGCAACTGCAAGTAAATTGTTAAAGTTGGTCTAAAACACGTGAAACATCTGCAGAGATGAATAGTTTTGTCTCATCCATCATGAGTTCATACATCACATGTATGTAGATCACGCTGCAGTGGGTTTAATAACACAAAGAAGAACACTTTCCCAACATATACATCTCTTAATTCTCCAAAAACTTGAGTAACAATAAATACAGTACAAACATATTTCAGTAACACTGGAAGAATCCAACAGCTGCTTCCCTGCTATGCTTTTCAAATTAACGTCATAGTTCTGAGGGGATTTTTCTGTCAGATGGTAACTCAAAAAGTGACTCCATGACGACGCTTACTATTGGTATTTTATAACATTTCTTGGAAATAGAATTTAGGATTTGAATATCTCTAATACATCATTTACATTGTTTTCTATTAATACATTAGTGAAGTAACATTGCTTTAAAAGTCATTTGAAGCCGTCTTCTTTAAAAAACACATGTCAAATGCTGGTGCTGTGACAAATCTGAGAGCCAAATATGCTTTTTGATAGTGACCATAAACTTATAGTAAGCTAAATTAAATGATACAGCATACTGGAAGCTATGCTTTGATGTTTGGATAAGATTTGAACATATAATCATGTATCTAACACTTACAGATGGATTATAAATATCAAATCAAACTGAGAGAAAACCTTTTTTATAGTACCTTATGGTTTTCTGTAGCAAATTATCTGCATTAAAACACACAGTGATAGACAATCATGGCATAGATTAAATTACTTTTTCATTTAAGTAAGTTCAGTAGTTCATAAGAAAATAGTGACAATGCTTAAAATGTCCTGTAGCAATGTGAATAAACCCTTAAGAAATATCAGATGCATATCAGGTTGTTTTTCAGAGTCAACCTTCCACCACATTTCACTGAACTCTACAGAAATTAATATTTCTTTATCTATATTTTTAAGGTAACAACGTTAAGAATATGTGTCTGTACACACTCTCCTATCAGATTACTGAATAAACTAAAAAGCTATCAGTGCAACATTTTAGGCGCTCCTCGTCAGATTTGTTCATGTTTGCTCGTTCACACACACACACACACACACTCCATAGAATTACAAATTGAGGATTAAGCATTTTCCTTTCATTTGCTAGTTCCCTCATTAATTATATTAGTAAAGAACAGAATGGTTTCCCTCTGTAGTGACATGGCACTGTGTAGTAGTCGGTCAGACCTGAGACAAACGGCTTCATGGTGACTTTCAACATGAAGCAGCAGCATGCCGTTTGGGTTGTAGTGCTCAAAATGGAATTCATAAAAATAAACTGGAAGACTTTATAATGTGATGTTTGGAAATCCAAATAAATATGTAAAACTAGCTTGGGCAGGGAGAAGGGATGCTACTGAAATGGAGTGTAGAGAACAAATGTATAAATGTTCCTCTAATTTACGTTTGCAGAAACCGACTGTTACATTGGAGTTAAGCTTTCTGACCCAGGCACTATTGTTTGGAGTTAGACAAATTTAACCACAACTGAAACATTAGTGTCCCAAGCCATATGCCCTGTGTTCACACAGACATTAAAACCCACCAACTTTGATCGAATTTGAGTTGTGTTTTGTTTAAAAAGAGAAACCCTTCTTCCAGTCTGCTGACTGAGCGGGCAGTATTAACTGTCTCCTGTCGCTGCTTAGAGAAAAGTCATTAAATCTTCACAATACTCTAATTCTACGATTGGTATAAAGAGTCTAAGGTGCAAGGAAATATATATTTTTTGCAAAGCCGCAGCCTAAAAGCATTTTTGTTCAGTTTTTTCTCTCTCAGATGTCCATGCTTTACAAACTGCAGTTCCCATATTCAGTTTACTGTAGGCAGTTGTAAGCTGTAGGCTTCATTTAATCATGATATTTAAATTACAACAGTGCATTTACTGTTCAATTCAACATGTGGGAAGGCAGAAATCAAAAGATCCCTTTGAGGAGTGCTTGGTCATTAAAAAAATCTACATCATTTGTTTTAGATTTTAAGCTATGAGCCTCTTACAGAAGGTTTTCCTTCAAATCTGATCATATTTCAGACCTCATGAGAGACGTGGTCTGTCAGTACCCTTTTGCTTTGAGTCATACACAGAACACTGTGACACCAATGTGTGTCTAATGACTAACCCTTAAAGGAAAAACACTGTGGAGTAATGAGAACTGCACTGTTGCTACACCTTTGTAAGACAATTGTGAGATATGAGTTGATGTATTAGTTAAAAGTGCATCTTACCAAATGTTATGAAGACCAAAGTGCAGTTTTCTAACATGTGCAGAAGAAGGCGATGTGTCACTTTCCTGTGAAAGTGTGTCTTTCATGAACAAGAAAGAGCTTTGGCGTGCTGAAACATACTGAAGGATCCACAGTGAAGGAGGTGCCGGGGACCCCCCCNCCCCCCCCCCCCCCTCTTCTGTTGTTACAGCTCCTGTGTGAAGCTCCTGGCTGTTCTATCTGTTGACTGTCCGGTGTCTTTGCTCTTAAATAGCTGACTCCTGCTGGATCTGCATGTAGCACGCCTGCAGCAGATTCAGTGATGATTAGATGACAGAGGTATAATGACAATTTTAGCTATAAAATATAAAAAAGTATTGTTTAACATTTCAAATGTGTTTTCTTTATTCTGGAGAGTATTTTAAAAATCATTCTGTTTTCACAGCAGACTTATTTCATCATTACTCTTTTATATATTTTTGCACAAACGCAAGCAAAAACTTAAAAAAAAAAAAAAGAGAATTGTGTGATCAGCAACATAAATAGTGGTTCATTTAAGCCTTACAAATGTATATATAAAAAAGCACCTATAACACCTTACTGCTTTTAACCCAATATGACAACCTGTCAATTGTGGCCCAATATTTCTGAAATCTGCTTAAGTAGAAAGGTAATCATCTCCATTATATATATCATTTTAATACACTTTTTGTAACAGTTTTCTTACTTGCTGCCAAAAATTGGCCTAGGTGTAGTAATTAAATCCTTCTTAGAGGAATGAATTACATTGCAGTCCAAGGTGTTATTCCACCATGAGTATATATGAGAGAGTGTGTGTGTGTGTGTGTGTGTGTGTGTGTGTGTGTGTGTGTGTGTGTGTGTGTGTGTCGTCGTCGTCGTACGTCGTCGTCGTCGTATCGTGTGTGTGTGTGTGTGTGTGTGTGTGTGTGTGTGTGTGTGTGTGTGTGTGTGTGTGTGTGTAGTAGTGTGTGTGTGTGTGTGTAGTAGAGAGTAGTAGTGTGTGTGTGTGTGTGTGTGTGTGTGTGTGTGTGTGTGTGTGTGTGTGTGTGTGTGTGTGTGTGTGTGTTACGTTACGTAGTAGTTAGTTAGTAGTAGTAGTAGTAGTAGTAGTATATGTGTGTGTGTGTGTGTGTGTGTGTGTGTGTGTGTGTGTGTGTGTGTGTGTGTGTGTGTGTGTGTGTGTGTGTGTGTGTGTGTGTGTGTGTGTGTGTTATACCTCGCCCTGAGCACCACATAGAGGAAGAGAGGCAGCAGGTCGTCCATGCACCACAGGAAGTTTCCATCCAGCATAGGTTTCCCTTCCTGGGTCATCTCTTCAAACGTCCTCTGGATGATGAGGAGTTTGTCTGACGGAGTGAAGGTGGTGCTGCATGTGGAGGGAGACATATTGTTTTTCATATACATAATAATAACTTCCAGGTTGTTAATGGTTCTGAGTTACGCGCTGTAATACAAATAACAATTGTTACTGAACTATTCTGTCAGAGTTTGTTGCATCAGGCCAAAGAGTTGAGGGGGTGTTTACTAAAACTATTACAATGGGACACTTGATTCATTCGTCAGTTTGCCACCTTGTGATCACAAGAACTTAATACAAATTCCACTCATCAAAGTATTATTTAAAGGTTTTTTCCAATCCAAAAATGTCTGATTTCATGCAATTTTATGATGCAAAGACAAAATCTGTGTCGAGCCTTAATAAAAAAACTAATTTTTTTTTTTTAAGTTTGAGATGTTGGACACGAACTGAAACTCCATGGGCCTGGATGGGATTTTTTTGATCTGGTAATCACATGACTCTGTCCTATCACATTTAGTGATATTAGTGTGTAATGGTGTCAGGTGACATGGCAGCTACCTGATTAGTTGGAGAGTCTCAACAGCAGAAACAAAACAGGCATCTTTACTGCTGGATACAATCTGTGGTACAAGTAAAGAAAAACAGTTTGAGAAGACAAATCAAAAGCACACTTTAAAAGATGAGAGGAGCAAAGTTAGTGGGGGAAATGCAGAAAGTGCAGAAAATGAAAAAAAGTGCACAAGGAGAAATAATAATATTTAGAATCCAACCTGCTTTTTATCTCCAAGGATTGACATCCACACTGGCCAGAACTTCCTACAGGTGAAACAAAAGAGCAGATTGTTTCAGAGGTCATCATTTGTAAGGGATTTGAAATCAAATAGCCCTTCACTGAATGAAATGCCTGTGGGAGTTTTCGGATGCACACACTCACTCCTGCACTCCCAGGAAGCTGAGCAGTGATTGGTCGGGCTGCTTGTTGAGTCGGAGGACGCGCTCCCAGTACAGAGCCTCCTCCTGCTCCTCCTGCAGGCAGTACAGGGTGAAGAGGGGGGGGTAGAGACGGGGGAGCAGCTGGGGGAGGAGCAGCGAGGAACAGCTCACCACCATAACACTGAGGAGGAGGAGGTTAATGTCTCATGTGCAATGCAACCGGATGTAGTTCAATAGCATTGAGATGGAACAGGTGATAGAAGCATATTCAAGGCTAAACATACCCATCATTGCCTTTGTGTGGATTTGTATTTATGTGTTTGTGTTGACACTCACACTTGCTCTGCTACGTTAGAGTTGTGTTCGCCTTCAGAGGCAGAGGCAGGAGGGTCTGGGATGATGCCGCCATCTTCTGGTAACCCCGGAAACAGAAATCTGCAGGCAACAGTTTATGTTATGAAGTGTTTTTAAATACACCATGCAAAGTATTTGGGCTGTATTAAATATCAATCGTCTATATTCAAAACTGTTTTTGTTATTTTAATATGCAGTTTTATGCATCTGTTATAATTGAACATGATGCATCAAAAACATACTTAAAAAAATAAATGTCTTTGTTATTGTGGTTCCATAAAATGTGATGTAAGGTGCTGTTAGATTGCTGCAACAGCATGTACTTCCTGTAGGTGCGTGCTGCCCTTTGTGTGCAGCAGGGGGAGTGCAAACTGTTGTGTTTTATAAAAGTGAAATGTGTCATAAAAGCTATTCGCCCACAAATATTAATTAAGGTACAATCTTCAGTTTGAAATCATGTCATGACTTTACAACGCTGTGCATTAATCGGAAATGTTTGGATTTGAGTCGGGAACAATCCTTGCCAGCAATCACTTGATTCCTAATCTATAGATACTTAAATAAGTGATGCTTTATTTGTATTAGACAACTGTGTAGACAAACTGGGTTTGCAAAGAATGAATAGACAGGAAGAAAAAGCTACAAAGCATTCAATTGTTAATTTAGGATTTAAAAGTCATTGTTATGGATGAAGCTTAGAAGCTACGGAATATTCAGTACGGTTCTAAAGAGTAAACTGAATGCAGGTCTGCAGAAGTCTGTGGTCTGAGCAGTAAAGAGGTGAGAGGCGTCCGGACGTGATCTACCTGACGATGCTGTAGAAGTGTGTGAGGAAGGCCAGCAGCTCCTGCACCGCCTGCCGGAGCAGCCGTCGGTTTGACCCCACCCCCACGTACGTCATCCTGTAGACCGTCACCAGGGTCTCCACCAGCCAGCCCAGAGGGTGGTGGGGGGTCTCACACGCCTGACACACAATTCATTATTATAACAAAATGTCCACAGGTAAAGGAACAAACTGTATTTCCCATGGTTTAGTCGGTGATGACAACAAAAATGAGCTTCACAATTATTTCGTGATAATTATCAAAATGTGCTCAGAATGTCCGAACTGGATTCACTTTTAAATAATTATATTGAATCGCAGAGAGGACAACTTAAAGCAAACATCGGCAGTTCTTACTAGTATCAGTAGTAAGGTAGTTATAAATGAGAAAGTCCCCCTTTTATGTATTAACCAGATTATTAGTTTAGTACAGCTAGCTTAAAGTCATGCATTGGGATACCATAGTCTTGCAATACATCCTCCCTTCAAAGGTTGAATTGTTTGGCTTTTGTTCGAGAGATGTCAATTCAACTAGATTGTGCTGCTGCTGACTTGTATTACTTCTTACTAAGATGAATTTCTTATACTTGATCTATTCACATTAAAGAAGAGAGGGCTTGAGTACCGTTTGTTTTAACTCATTTATTGCGGGGCTGTCTATCCTATAGAGCTTTAAATGCTTTCTTCTTCACATGCAAAGATTATTATAAACACAGTCACATATCCAGCCACTTGTACCTTGCTGAGGTATCGTCGTATGTTGTCGTAGTTAGCGGTGGTCACTGGGTCTCCGTGGTGGGGAATGAACTCCAAACACTCCAACACTTTACTCTGAGACCTAGTGAGATCTATGCTACAAACACACACAGACAAACAAACAATCAGACACTCACACATATACAGCTGTATAGCCAAGAAAGGTATAAACTATTTTAATTTGCTCCTGTGTGTGTGCTGCTGCATGTACCTCTGTCGTCGTGCGGTTGTTATGGTAACGGCGATGTTGTCCCAGGCTGCGGCCCTCTCTCCTCTCCCCGGAGCCTCACAGCCCAGCCGACTCCAGCACTCATTGAATACACACAGCCACCTCTGAGTTGCAGGAACCAGGTACTGACCCACTTTGCTGAACACACACACATTTTTAAGGTTTTAAAATAACACAACATGAGGAAGAGATATACAAAACGACTCCAATAGCCTGTTTCCAGTCACATGCATCACTTTATATAAATAATATCCTGCTTATACTGTGTTAACAGAAAAGTGGTCCTTCAATAGTGTTTTTATTTGTCAGACAGTTTATAGATGTTTTATCTTCACAGTTATCTGTATATTTTTCCAACTCTCTAATGCTGGTTTATTTCTATTTTGAGATGTTTATATTTTAGAATTGTTTATTTCTACTCTTTTCATTTTTTATAATGGGCAATGCCTTGTTTTGTTTTATTTTATGCTGCTGCAACACATTTATTTTCCCAAATTGGGATTAATAAAGTACATCTTATCTTATCTTATTATTTTATATTAGAAAAACCTTCACACACAAAGGAATATCAAAGGGCATAGGAATGAATATACCGAAAACAGCTTGCACGCTTGTTGGTGTCATCATTAAATAGGATGCTTTATTCAATATCCTTAATTGAGGATTCAAATGAAATAAAGGTGGTACAGTCCTAACGATCAGCAAGTTTCAGGTTAATTTAAGTGCGAAGTAATACTCACTGCAGGCTGCTCCTCTCTTTGTTTTCTGGTTCTTCTGGGGGGGGTTTGGTGTACGTTCCCACCACCTTCAGCCCGGAGGTCCACTCTCCAGTGAACTGGCCCTCCAGACAGTCCCCGTTAGCCAGGGATAAAACACCCTGAGTAGAAGGGAGGGTGAGAAATGAATGTGTGTGATATCACTTAAACGCCCTTCAGTTGTAAAGGTCAGACTTTTTAGTGTTTTGGACTAGGCTTCTTGGTAGTGGCATGTATCCACTTTGCATTAACAACTGTGAGATTGTAAATTGGAATTAATTACAAAAGGACAAGTCACTATTTTAAACAATTACTCATGTAGGTTTAAACAAGGAAACCCAGAGATCATGACACACACATAGCTAAATTACATATACAAACAGTCTACCTTCCCATTGACAATCCAGTCATCAGAAAACTCCCCATGTAAAGCTGTGTCGTCATCTGACACCAACAGACCTGGACCCTGAAATAAAAAACAGTAAACAAATAATCCATTACCCATACAAATACAAAATGTGTACATCACTACCTAAGAATATTGGTTTAAAATTGTATCAAATAAATATTCAAATTACTTGGCACATATATCACTAACACTAACTCAAGCAGACTAACTTTTTGAATTGATGCTGCTGCTTCCTCAATCTGTTGCGGACAGTAAAACATTTTCACATTCAGCCATTTACTGTATATGCCAGAATTAAGAAGTACATATTTTAGCAGAGGCATCACCAAATGCCAGACTGTCAAGTGTTTGTTCTATATACATTTGAGTGACTTCATCTCTTTGAATTTTTACTGAATACCCCTGCTTGAGAGTGAACTTACACACATCTTGTTGTCTTTGAAGGTCCCTTCATAGTACACACCGCACTGAGTGACAACCACAGCGTTGCCATGGCGCTGCTCGTCCAGCCACAGTCCCATGTATTTCTCACCTCTGGGAAGAGCACATTAGAGACAGGTATGTGTCTTAATTAACAACATTTAATTCACTTATTGCACATTCAGTACTGACAGCAAACTGCCCATTTGCACTGGGAATTTGTGGAAGAAACCACTGAAATAATTTGGACTAACTAAAACTAAAGTTTATTAGATAAAAAAAACTAATACATTTTTTAGGTTAAATTAAGAAACCATGGCTGCTCTCCTGAAATGTCCTTTTTTTTTTACTTTATTATTTGTACAGTAAATCAGACCTGGTCATGTCGTCGTAGACTCCGTATCCTGACTTCCCGTCATGGACCCACTGGCCAATGAAAACGCTGGAGGAGTTCTTGGCCAGTTTACCGGAGCTCAGCATGCCGTAACCGTGGCGCTGTCCGTCACAGAAACAGCCCTCGTACACCTCGCCACACGCATACCTTCACAGAACCGCAGAGACATGAACACACACACAGGTAGTCTATATCGTTTCTTTAAAATGGCATGATATTTGGGGATTTTTAGCAATAATATTAGTGATAAAGACATGACCCCTGTGTTGTGGTTGTGTACACGCAAAAAAAAGTTTTAAAAAACATGTACTGACTTGTACTTGCCGAAGCCATGGATCTTGCCATCTCTCCACTGTCCTTGGTAGCTGTCTGGCTTATTCAGTACTTTGTTAGGTATTAAACACTCTCCATAGCTAGAAATAGAAAGAAAAAATGTAGCGAAATATTGAGAAATTAGTTTTGTTTTTGCTGGTTAATCACACAGATAAAAATTGCCAAAAATCATCAGCTGGTTTTATTGTTTAAGGAGATACTGAATGGTTAAAACCGGACTGAATAAGAAAAGTAGTTACCACCACTATGTTATTTTTCTGAAGGTTTTTAAACAATTTATCTCCTATCTCGTAAAAGGTAGAGGGATGTGTCATATTGGAAAAAAAACACATTACATGTTAACAATTTTTATATTTTTTCACTAGGTTGGTGTGCTTACCCTTCCTCCTGTCCTTTCTTAAAGTTCCCTCTGTAGGTGCGTCCATCTGGCCACTTCATGGTGCCTCTGTAAAGACAAAGACATTTAACTATCCAACTATCTGCCCAGAGACCATCATTACAAAAGTTTATAATCAACTTGTATCTAACATTTAACAAGAAATGGAAGGAAATGGGGCTGAACTGTTGTCCCTATGGTCATCCTAAAACCATCTTATCACACCTCACCAGCAGGAACATTATCGATATGCTTTCTTAAATGTGCATTCAAGAAAACTCAAATGTCCAAGAGATGGTAGTAGGCTGCCAGAAACCAATGCGCATACATTTCAGGAAGACACCCATATGCAAACACATTATCCTTGTACATACTGTGGCTGCCGAGATGGAGATGAGATATGCGCGCAAGAAAAAAGCAGCTCTCTAACCTGCCATGAAGTCGCCCTGCCAGCCAGGCCCCGGTGTACTGGGCGTCTTTAAAGCATCCCTCTCCAGTGAACGTGTAGGGGGCCGTGCGGGCCATCGCTGTCAGCCCGGGAGACGACCCCTGACCTGCACCCCCCAGCACCTGATCCACCGCCTGGTTAAGAGACCGTAGCCACTTATTCTGGAGAGACGGAGAGAAAGACTTTTAAGAAAGAGGCCAAACAAGAGCAGTGATTTCTGAATCAAAGATAACAACATATCAGAGTATCATAACAGGAGTGTCTCCATCTGCTGAGAGGAAGACATGTTATCTTATCAGATCATGGAAAAGCAGTTCAAGGTCATATTTTAGATGTTTTATTCTAGTTGTATTTGATGCTTGCTGGTGAAGGCCACCAAACATACAGAGAGCTGTTATCGTGTTAAACATTGAATAGAAATATGTAGCTCTTTTGCTTCACAGTAACAATGAAACTTTCAAAACATACCTTCACTAGTGATTTGTACATCTTAATGATGAAAATACATTCTACAGCAAGCAGGCAATACAGCTTTTATTTCTAAATATGCAGCGAAGCTTGCAAAAAATATGTTTTATAACATTTTCTAATGAAGAAACAAATGGGTGATACGCTTCTAAACCATAAATGTACCTTCTCTTGTGGGGTTGAAGCGACCAGGGTGAAACTCTCCTCCGGGCATGTAATCTTGATGGCATAACTGGTAAGGAAATGCAAAAAAACAAGTTTTCAACCATATCAAATAAATCAGGGTTGAGAACACAAACAGTTAACAAATGGAAGAAGTTTTCATAATTTGGAAAACTAATTATAAGATAGATCAACTTTTACAAGCTTTATTAACCTTCTGACCTGGTTGACCCCACACTGTGTCTATGACTGATGTTATAGTATAACATTGCTGTACATGTGAGGGTCAGTGAGATGTCTTTGTGAGATGTGTAGCCTTTTCATCATCTTAAACATTGATGGTTTTCAAATGCAACAAACTCACTGTCCACTGCTGTCTTCAGTAACTGGTTTCACCCACAGACAGCTCAGAGGGTAGATGTGATGCGTGGAGAACTGCAGAGAGCAGAAGTTTAGGTGTTTTTATGTTGTCAGTAATTAAGACAGTTTAGAACATGAATCATCTAAGTTTGTCTGTGTGTCTTAATGTTATAATAATAGAACACATGACATGAAGCCAAAACAACAGAGAGAAACAGGACAGGTTTCACCACTATCTGCTGTCTATTAACACACCACCCCACACCAAACAGAGACGAAGGCAAACGATTCTATACTGAAACAAACACAGTGCAGAGGGAAAACACAGAGGAAAGGTCAACAGTAAATAGGTTTTAATCCGCCAAGATGCCCCTTGAAGCTGATGTTCTCTTGAATCAGAGTCTTGTGAAAGCTAGAATTCAGCTCTGAGTTGCATCCTTTCCCCAGCACGAGCTACTGCAACAATGACCTTTTGACCCCTAGCTGACTAACGTCACTGTTGCGTCTAAAACACACGGTCACACACACAGCAGCCTGTTTGGTAGCGGCCCAGTTTAGATCAGCCATCAGGATAACGTGTAAAAGATGCATGTTAACAAAGGATTTCTGCAATGCTAAGGAGTGCAAAACTACAATGCTCAATATGAATGTAGCTAGTGTACACTGATTGGCGTGGCCAAAAGGACAAGACAATACTTTTTAACAGATGATTGGGAAAAATATTATAATGCTACGTGAAATAATTAGTTATTACGTCTCTTGGTCTGAAAGACATAAGATCCAATCAAAAACATGCATGTGTTTTTGTGTAAACAGTCCCTTTAACATTGCATTTAGTCCTGTGTTATCATTCAATAACTAATTCCATGTGAACCTGTCAGAGTGTAAGCACTGAACTGAGGCCAGCCACCCATGCTGCTGCTGCAGCACAAAGCTCAGGAGAGTTTGGTGAACTGCTGTCAGATATACTCACGAGGCTCTGAGAGGGAATGGCACCCTGAGTGAATGAAAGATACAATGTCAAGTATAAAGTTGAATGGAAGAACAGAGTAGTGGATGTCCAGGAAGATAGAGCCGGTGGAAGCATTGTCATATCCCAGATTTTCTCAAATGTAAAGATTTGGTGGACTTTCAAACTCTACAATGAATGTATTATATTTAAAATAAAGTGCTTCCAGGCCTTACCTACAAGTTGAGCGAGTCAATATGAATAAAGGAATTTAAATGTTCACAAAAAAACAGATCAAAGAGTAAAATAAGTTAATTTATGGAATAGTTGAAAAGGAAATGAACTTTTGAGACACACTTAATAAATTTAAGTAAAACAGGAAGGATGAATTATCCCCTACAGAGATTCACCACATCTTCTAAAGCCAAAATAGAACTTTTGAATACACAATCTCTCAGCAATAAAGCATCCTTCATTCAAGACCACATCACTGATGAGAAATTGGACTTCATGTGCCTCACGGAAACCTGGCATCAGCCAGAGGTTTACTCCACACTCAATGAAGCCTGCCCTCCTGGCTACAGCNGCCAAGCTCCAGGACCACCTAAACTCCAACAACCTATTTGAGAAGTTCCGGGTCTGTTTTCCGCTCAGGGCCACAGCACAGAAACTGCCCTCTGGACTCAGCGGTCACCAACGACCTGCTGGGATTGCACGGCTGGATGCATGGCTCTCCCTCTCTCCTCATCACTCCTTGTACTCACTGCAGCTTATCGGACACCGCTCATCACGGCATCCTCCTCCTCGTCTACTCACGCCATCGGAAACTCTCTTACTCTTACCCCTTGGACTGTTCACATCATTACGCACTCACCGGGCAGCTACATGAAACGCGAACAGGAATACGTCATCTCCCTTTGCGCAAGTAGAGAGGGCAGGCGATAAGTAAGAATCATAAGGATTAAGCCACAAAACGTCAACTGTTGTGCTCCCTCAAGGATCAGGGTTCCTCGGCCCCAACCCTTATTCGAACACTCATATTGCCCAAAAACAACAACAGCCCCCCCCCTTGGCTACTATCATCAGACCGAACACTGGAAAGTTAACCTTCCGACTCTGTTACGGCCTGAATGACACCCAATATGATACCTCAAGGATAACCCTAACCCCGACCTCTCGCCCAGCCTGCCTTCTCCACCCTACACTCCCAACTACCTGGCACGGAGGATATACAGGCGGTGGTGCAAGCCTAAACTCTCCTGAAACTACAACAGCTCCAAGACCGAAAACTCAAAGCCATTATAGTTGGCACCCCACATCAGCGTTCGGTTCATCCCATCACGACCATCACCTTCTGCTTCCGCGCCCAAGGCCATTACCCTGCTCCTCAACAGCTCACCAACTTTGGGGTGTTGAAAATGGAGACGCCCATCTGACCTTTGAGGCACATCTAAACAGCTTGTGCAAAAACTCTCTTCTATCACATCAGGAACATCGCAAACTCCTTCCCCCTTCACTCCTTACCTGTCTGACGGCAGGAAAAGACTAGTCCACGCCTTATATCTCCTCAAGGCCTGGGATCTACTGCAATGCAACTACCTCATCTGGGCGATCCTAGAAAAGCATCCAGAGGGCCTCAGTAAATCCAGCAACAGCGCTGCTTAGGATCCTGGATGGGGTGGCGCAAATATGATCATATCACCCCCATCCTGAAATCAACTACACTGGCTCCCGCTGGGAATTGCAGCGATCGAATTCAAGGTCCGCGTCCTCACACACCAGTGCTATCTATGGATACAGGCCCTCCATAGCCTCAAGGAACTCCTCACCCGCTTACCTCCGTGCGGACCACCGCCTCCAGTAACTCCAATCCTCCTCAAACCCCCTAGGACTAAGCTCTTATGTGACCTGTGGCCTCTGCTCGGCTGCTTCTCCTCCAGTCTGTGGTATGCTCTCCCCGCATCACAGACCGTGGAGGTTTTTAAAAAAGGCCTCAAAACCCACCTCTTCAATAGAGCCTTTCCCTAGACCTTTTATTTACTTATTATCACCCTTTTATCTTATTTTATTCTTTTTACTTATTTATTTTTATTTATTGCTTTTTATTCTTTTTACGATGTTAGCACTTCGGGATTTGAATGCAAATATGAAGTGCTTTATAAATTAAAGCCATTATTATTATTATTATTATAATATAAAACTGAGGTATGAACACTGGCGTATATTATATTTTCTTGATTAGGACTTGTTGTGTATATAATCTACATTTAAATGAGTTAGTATCGATCATTTATTATTTGTTATGTGTATTTCAGTTTAATAAGTAAAAAATGACAGAAATATACTAAACAGATCTGAACTGCCATAATATAATGTGGAGTTTCTATGATGTGTGGAAAGTGAATGTAGATGGAAATAAATCTAGGGTTAAAAGGCTTTAAAGGGTTACCATGGTCACCTGATGACACCATGAAGCAAAAGTAAAAATATCTAGCATCATTTTGCTATTATTTGTACAGTTGTTCTGTGTTTGCATGTGTGTGTACCTGTGTGTGCACCAGTGTGTCGTTGAACAGAATGAACCAGTGGTTGGAGAACCGCCCGGCGTTCTGCAGAGTCAGAGATCTGTTGCTGCTCTCACACACCACGCGGCGCTGAGGGAGGCGCAGGACCTCCTGATGACAAACACACAGGGATATTTGCTCATTAAAATCTCACAATCTGTTAAAAAATATAATATGTGAATTACAACTTACAGTGGAGACCAACTGTACCACTTTAGAAAGTAGTGGTGGTATTGGTTTAAAACCTCAGAGCTGCATACCTTCTTTATCTTGTGTGTATCATAGTTTGTTTGGCAATGTAAACACTGTTTTCGTCTAACAAGTAACATGTAATGTTTTCACACCTAAACCAATCAATCAGCTTTAAATAACTTAACACAGAGTTGTGCTCACTGTAGTTTTTCCAGAGTGGCTCTTCCAGAAGAGGAAGGTGGTTTCAGCCTCCTTTTTCTTCCTCAACAGGGACAAGGACAGGGAGTCAAACTGGTTGCAGCCCTGATGGAGGAACTGATACTCTGCAGTTAACTGGGGGAGGAAAAGAAAAAAGTGAGAGGCTTAAACTCTTTTTATCGTTTTAGAACATGTTGAAAAGTCCACATGGCCAGCCCTTAATGGTATAGCTCCATTAACAGATCTACACTGTAGTAAATATGTTAAAACAGAATATAACAATTCTAAGTTCTGTCACAACTGCAATGTAAAACATATATTATTATAATATTGGATCAAAAGGAAGTACTTCTTTATTTTAAATGTATCTAATGTACTGCTCATTAACAATAAATTACAAATGTCCATATGGTCATGAAGTCTTTATCTAGGAATAGGTGTTTGAGCAAATACAATGAAAGTAATTGATATCAATATATTCACAGTTATGAATTTAGAGGAAAGAAAGACATTTGGAGAAAAGGGAAGAGAGAGATAATAAAAGGAAGATAAAAGAGTAAACGGCAGACAGAATTTAGGAGAACAGAGAGCGGAGGGTTTCCTTTCTCACCACATCGAAACAGGCTGTCAGTTTGAGCATGACTCGGCTGTACTGGTGCAGCTGCTGCAGCGGCCGGTAAAACACAGAAACCAAATCAACGTCACCACCGATGGACTGGTCTGCACACAGCTGAGCCAGCACCGTCTGCTGAGAGCCCAAACACTCACTGGACACAAAACAAAGAGAACACAATTATCCTAATCATTTAAAAACATGTATTTGTGTTGATGGGAGCTTTTCTAAAATGTGCTCTTTCTGGCAGCACATGATCACTTCCTGTTTGGTTATATAGCCTTCTCGTGATCATCAGCAAAATAATAAATGTTCAAACTGATATTAAGGCTGTGTTTCAACCAAAAATGCACATTTGCTGTGGCACTTGAAGAGATCTCATTCATTTGCATTTTTTGGTAAAAACATGAAGAAAAAAACAAAGGATCTTACAGTGAGAGTTTTTGGAGTGATCGGAATCCACCCATCACCTCAAAGTTACCCACTGAAGAACAATACCTGGAGAGAGACACAGAGAGAGAGATGTCAAAGTGTGTTTCCATTTCATTTCCCATACTAGATTCAATATAGAATGCACAATTAACTACTCATGTAAGTCCATGGTTTGAACTATTTGTACCTCTATCTCTTATCAACCGTATTACTGATATTGTTCCATCTACTGTCAATATAAACTCAGTAAGATTTCATTTCATTTGCTCTAGAAAATGTGTTACACCTTCCTCGTTTGTGTCTGAAACCAATGTACCTAAATTCCACATTCGTCCAAACAAGATTAAAGAACAAAATACTCAAATTCAGGAAAATACATTTACAGTACAGTTACAGCATGCGGGGACTGTTGTTGCATTAGTGGACTTATCATTGAGTCAATTAATATAAGTTGTTAATGAATGTCATTTCTAACTGTTAAAGCATTTGTACAAAAATTAGTCACATCAACCAAAGCAAGAACGTTTTATATTTGCAATAAAACAAATATGAAAGTGTACTCGTAAATAGAGTGATAGACAAAAAGGAGACCCTTACTCTTTATAAATGTCCATAAAGTGCTCAGTGTGCGTCAGCAGGGGAAGGGCAGTGACGTCAGAGCTCTGCACTTCAAGCAGGAAGTAGCTTAGTGACGTGGAGTGTCGGCCAATCAGGATGCTCAGACGAACAAAACTCTCACAGAGAGAGAAGAAGAGGTGCGTGCATGGCTCACCTAACGAAGGACACACACTCTCTGTGGAATACACACATATAAGGTTGATGTAGTCACCATTACCACACTGAGTAGATGCTCAAATAATGCGTCTACAATTTCACCGATTATTTGTTGTATTTTACAATGTTCTTTTTCCATTTGCCACAATTCAATTAATGTACAGGAACATTACATTAAATTTCTCATATTCCAAAGCCCCAGTAGTAAAGGGTTCAGAGGTGCAAATACAGAGTGATACAGCACAGCATTTGGCTCTTATCATCAAAGATGGAGCCAGTACAGATTCCTTCTCACCTTTATTCCGCAGCGGAGTGAGGAGGAGCTTCTTAGCGCTGCTCAGCCAGCAGTAGAAGTGTCTCTCTATGGAGGCCAGCTCATGGATGGCCGATATGAATCCCATGACGTTCTGGTCTGCCAGCACCGCACAGCGCTGACCCCCGCTGCACACGCTGCTGATGTAACCCATCTACACACACAGAGGAAATAAGCATGATTTTTAAGTTTTCTTTCATCCAAGTGCTTTCTCTTCGTTGCTTTTGATGTAGTTTCCCAGCTTTCCTCCCTTTGTTTAATGTACAATCACCAGATTTCAGCTGTGAATGTCTGTTGTCTTTGTGTGCTGTATGTAGGTTTCTCAAGTTTCAAGGCTTTATTGTCCTTTGCACATTAGCTACAGTGTAGATATTTCAATGAAAAACTTAGTGCCAACACTCCTCCAACATATATAGGACATAGAACAAATAGAACAGCAAAAATTGTGCAATAGAATGTTTTGAGATGTGCAAGTAAATACAAATGAAATAGAAATAGTGCAAGAATAGTCTATATACAAGTAAACGGAATGATGATTCTGCTGTGGGATCAAGGATTTCTGTAAATACCAATTTAGAAGCATACTTTTTGTCGTTTTAGTCATAAACTGAGAACTATGTTAAAATAAATATACTCCAGTGTTGCAGTTTGAAAAGTGCTCCACCCATCGTCTTCTTTTCTGTAGGCCCATTAGAAGAAAAAACATCAGTTATGTTTTGGAAATACAAACCTCCATGCAGAAGGGCAGCAGGCTGGGTCTGACTGTGTAACTCTCAGCTCTGTTTGGTGACCTCTGGCATGACCTTTGACCCTGCTGTGACTTCTCACTCTGGGCTGACGTTTGCTCTTGCTGCTGGCCGCAGTACAACAGGACCGGCTGCACACAGTCTCCATCAGCCAGGAGGAGGGAGTGGCTCTGCCCCGCGGACAAGTCCCAAACCCGAAGACCATCAGACAGCTACAGCAGCCAGCCAGGGACCAAACACACACTTCTGTTAGGGTTATTCGCTGGTTTGTTGTAGATTTGATTTGTTCAGATTACTCCACTGTATGTTGTTAGACAGCATCCACACTGCATGATTTAGCAAAGTCTGGACATCTCACACATTTTCAAAGAGTCAATCTGCTGTAAGTAGCAACTGCAATCTTTTCAAGTCACCCAACCCACATTTTTAAAAATCCGGCAGCCCCCAAGACTACGCTTTACACAATGTACAATTGAGGAAGTGTGGATGTGTTTAGTTGTCAATGAAAGGATTCAGCGAGTGTAGACGCTGATGTCATGGGAGTTTCCATATGATGCAGAAGAATTGCAGCACATGAGAAATACAGTATCTCTTTTGCTGTCTCTCTCTTTCTTAGTTCAGCTAATTTCCATTTGTATTCCTATGTTCAATATGTTTTACAATACCATCTTCAGCCACCTAAAGATATGTTCATTTATATTTTTGATATATATATATATTATATGATATACTGACAGATTCCCTTACCTTTATCTGTTGAGGTACAGTGACAGGACTGTTGACGTGACCGAGCTGTCCACACATGTTGCTGCCCCAAGAGTACACCTGAAGAACAGGTCAGTAAGTCGGTGTCAATGTATTAGTACAATTGTGCATCTCTGTTCATGAGGAAAAGTTTGACTTTTTAAACTTGGCTGACATTTAGGTCAGTCGCTACTTCTTTAAAGGTGGGGTAGGTAAGTTTCAGAAACCGGCTCAAAGAATCCTCCCCTTCCTTCAGACTTCCTTACAGAGCACCTCCTCCGCGAGAGCAGGCTGCAGTAACGTTACATATCAGGCAAAGCTAAACACATCTAGGTTAGCAATACTACACAGCCAAAGCAACTCCGATATTGAATCTGGTTTGACTTCTCCTAGTATCCACTTTCTTTTTGTTCTTAATTTGCTCCGTTACATTTTTTCTTTTGCGACCAGTAGACGATGTTGAACCTAACTCTGCCATGGTGAAAGTGGCCGCCTGTTGCTGGCGAGTCATTGAAGTACTGCTGCAATGCACGCCCAATGACGGCACGCCCAATGAGGGCACGAGATATATTTGTGCGTGCACGAGATTGAAGGCTGACCGGCTAAACGGATTGTTTATAGTTTTTACAGTATTACGGGTTCCACAGATGACATTTTTTATGGATTTTTTGTCAAAGCACTCATTGCCATCAGGATGTTAAGAGCATTCCATGGAATATAACAAAAAGTGTATCTCGAGCCGGTTTCTGAAACTTACCTACCCCACCTTTAAGCCTTGTATGATGCTTATACTGTATTTTAGTCTAAAGTTACATCCAGGTTAGGTTAGGGCCTGCAGTGGTGATGATTAACCAATCGTGTGAGAGGTGTCAAATAGAGTGCTCATACAATCAAACAATAGCGGGTGTGTGTCTGCTGTTTGTTTCTTTTACCTGGCAGTGGGCGGTGAGGGCGAGTGAATGGTGGGACCCTGCAGCAACTTTGATCACCTCCTCGCCTGTCAAAGGCTTGA